AATTTTGTATTATTTGCTTTCCCCCTCTCTAACGAATTGCATTCATTAAAGATAATAAGGATTTAGAACTCTAAAGAAAAGTGGTAATGAACAGCTCCAAGGTAGAGCGTTTGATGTGTAGGTAAAAAATTTACCAGTGATTGCCATAATTCACGAATTTTGACCACCGTTGAAAGTACGTTTCCCAAATTGTTGGCAGTAGGTTTCAGATATTATAAAAGAATAAGAGAATTGAACTTGCAGGCAAGTTTTCGAGGTTACAACAAAAGCAGAAGCTAGCAATAAGGCTTATGCATCAAATGGAGCTCTTCCATTCCACACGGACTTTCCCTCGCTTTCTCATCCTCCACAGGTGCGAGAAGCAAATTGAAAAGAATCGCCCCTAGATATCCACATACGTTTCATTTGAAAGAGATGAAATATAGTAAGTTTGCAGTTACAAATGCTTCACATGATTCGAAGAGCTGAAGAAGGAGGCAACAGTTTGTTCGTCGATGGCTTTCATGTTGCAGAGCAGGTATGCATTTCTTCGTTTGTTTAGGGTTGGGAAATCTTGATGCAGTTATTAAAAACCACGTTTTGCCTACACGTGAGTGACTGATTAATTTTGTAGCAATTTGAAAAGGCCGAGCAAATAGCTTAAATTTCCTACTTTGCATTTTGATATAATTTCTGAACAACGAGCATCTTTTATTAACATACATGACGATAATTGCGTTGAGCGCCTAGCTCAAAAAATCTGAGGATTTGCTCAAGCTTCTTCACACTAATTTGAGCTTTAACTTAGGCATAACGTTAATATTAGGTGTTAGAAGTTTTTCGTTTCTTCAAGATAATGCGAATCTTAGTTACAACGAATTTACATCGTCTTGCCTCCATTGCATTGCGATAACACCTGCAATAGTATCCAATAGTTAAAATTCTCTAGATCCAGATCGTTGTTGAAGCACATATTTGGTACTGCATTTAATAAAATGGAAATGGACAGGGTGAAAACGCCATTGGCGAGTTTTTGGAAATATTAGCTCATAATTCACATTTTTGGGTATGCATTAACTCATGGGTTGAAGCGGTTACCTTTCAAATAAACATTATTTCTGAAAAATCACCCTGTTAGTTGTGATATAGTAGTGACTATTGAGTCGTACTCTAAGTAACTTCACATGTACGTAAAGCCCAAATCCGCATAGAACATAAGACATTTATTTTCATGTACCCTCGGTTGCTTCACAGTTAGCATTGAAGGTCAGTGTTTGCAGGAAAGAAACTTTTACAAAGCTATGGACTTGGGAAACAATGTCGGCGATTATCCCAAACTAATCTAGAATGAACAGACTTTTTGCTACTTCTTTAAAGGAAACAAAGTAGAGATTCACTCGATGGGGGGCTTTGCGAATAAGCATAGATTATCAAAGCCGTATGTACTAGCTGATAGCTATACTATAGATAAGCTGCTGTTGTAGAAGTAGATTATAAGAAAACCAGGTTCCTTGTAGACGGACTTATTTCACTTCTCTGCTCTATTTACCACTGATGACACAAAAACTCGATGAACGTTTTAACATGGTGTTTTTACTCATCCATCCTTGTCTTGGGTTTGTGTATACAACTCTATTTACTGTAAAATAGTTTCTTAGGATATCACGCGAAGCAATGGCTCCTAATATCTTCCATTCCTTTTTAAAATAGTCTGCATATTTAAAGTTGAATGAATTATTCTAAATTTGGCACGTTATTTGAGGTAGTTTGCCCTTGCATAGCCCATGCTCATTTTCTAACTTCATCACGTTTTGCGTTTCGTGACTTAGTTGATGCATTAAAGCACAAATGATAATTCCAGCTACGTCAAGAAAAACCGGACGTTTTTGACATTCTGTCAAAGCATTCATTAGAATTCATCGAAGAAGGTTTTGACATTCACGATGGGTCCGATGGTAATCCGAAGAGATTCGATTACAACATGTGCGCACGTCATCGCACCATAAAGTAAATTTCCTTTCTTTGAAAATCTGAAAGTTCTAAATTTTATTGTAGACTAAATGAGAACGGTGAAGTAATCAAAATCCAATTTGGCAACGCTATGAGGAGTTGGTTTTACGACTGTGATCCAGAAAAAATCCAAGACATTTACAGGTGACGAGA